AGTAAATTAATATAACATTAATCAAGGAAAAGGCTCTCTCGTCTAAATTGAAGTCTAATCAGCTTTTTATTATACCAATATTATATACTGCTCCTCTCTTTATAGAAAACTTAGTTTTAATTCTTGCCCTTCTATATATTAAATATTCAGCACTTTGTTAGTATACAGACTTGATGGGAGTCTTAGCTTTTTAGTTAGAGTAGAACCTATTTGCTGTTCCATAAACGTTTATAAATAAACAGTGTTGATGCAATTGGGATATTTAAAACACCCAGATTTTATTTCCTCCTGCTTATTTCAAGCGTGCTCTGTGTCTTAGCAATTAACAATTATTGTGTATGGGATTTCATATATTCAAGCTGAATATTTATTATACACATTTTACCAACTTATGGAACTCAGATTCAAATGAAACCAAGTAAAATTTGGATATTTTCCTTGAAAATAAAACTACACCATCATCTCCATCTGGTAATTTTTATGATCTCTTTATTCTGTATGGTTATATTCAGTAATTGATATGTATAATGCAATGAAGAAAAACAAAATTAAATTAAAAATATGCCCAACAACCAGCCTGAAATTACACTAGATGTGCCACTGTGTAACAGTAGTTGAGCTAAAATTCTACATTTAGTTCTATTTTTTGAAAGGAATATTACATGGCCTCATGTGTAAAATTTATATTTTGCTTTTAGAAAGTTCTAAAATATGTTCCCCCCAAACTTACTATTCTAAGAAACTTAGTTTTATTACATTTTTTCTTTTTCAAAAATAATATTGAAATAGTGGTATGTAACTGACTTTGACAGATTCACTAAGATTGACTTTTAATGGAAATAAATAGGCTCAGAAAAAAATTTGTATGAAGAAATTCAGCCTTGGAAAACAAAGATGCATGCTATCTCTCATATGTATTAGCTAGATATAAGTTATAAACATTAAACTTATACATGCATATGTATACAGTCAAACTGACTGAAGTATAGCATGCAGAGGGGCAGATTCTATGGTGTAACTCCTTTGAACAATTATCAGACACATTAACAAAACGAATACCCGGTAACTGAGATATATCGTATCTGAGAATGGAGGGGTTGAAGTGGAAGGAAGCAGACAAATTGAGATAGGAATAGTAGGGGAATGCAGTCATAATACTCAGGGTACATATGTGAAAACAGATCTAGGGAGCTTGTGGGGATGGGCGGAGTTGGGATAATGGAGGGAGAATGATGAGAGGAGCAACACTGAAATTCAGTGTACACATTAGTTGAGATGTTACATCGAAGCTCCATTATTGAACTATATAAAGGTAATACAAATAATTTTAAAATGCCTTGTGAATATGCTATGACAATTTTTGTTCTCAAATTTAGTTTAATATTTCTATGGTATTTACAAATAAATCTAATCCTAAACTGCTTTGTTAAGGATTAACTGTATATGAGTACATAGAAACAATTTTAAATCATTAAGAAACCATTAGAAACTTGCCTTCAGTCTTTCAGAAATAGTAAACAAGAATTGCCTAACTGGTAAAAAACAAAAAAAACAAAAAAAAAAACAAAAAAAAATCTACTCCAGCTCAACCACTTGAAACAGAAGCTGGCTGAAATCCAAAAAGAAGCACCTGTATTTGTTAATGAATCTATCTTAGTCCAGGTGATCAAAAACTAAAGGAATAAAACAGCTTATATTCCATTCAGAAGGTAAAACAGTTCTTGCACTATTTTTATACTTTTGGAGCCAAAACTTAATGATGGAAACAATAGATTAAGTCCAGAGGGTGTAGTTTGATTTGTACATCATGAATTGAGCAACTAAGTAGGTGGTTTTGCTTATTCGAGGTTAAAATTAGCAGTTAAAATTAGTCACAGAGGAAGTAATTTGTTCAGTAAGTTGACCTTTAGTACTTTAAATATGGTTTAGAATTATCCCAAAGAAATGTTAGTATCCTATTTTGTCAGCTTCCCTCTTTTACATCTCCTCCATCTTTTTTTCCCTACCATAACTTGTAGGAAGATTAAAAAAAAAAAAGGAGACCAGAATGTTACTTTGAAAGCATTTGAATCAGATTGCATTATTTCCCTGATAAAAGAGAAGCTTGTCAAGGCTTCAGAATTCACAGATATGTGCAAGATGTTGCTGCAGCCTTGGATCTTTCTTTAGAAGAAAAATACAATTATAGATCCAAAAAAGCACTTCCATATTCTAAACCACATCATAGACTGACACATCAGTTATATACATGTGCACACATATACACTTTTGCTTAAATCAAGTTTCAGTCATTTGTAAAAACTTGCATACATGCATTTTTATAGGCACTCAAGGACACCCATGGATATTTCTCACTTGTGTATAGAAAAAGAAGAATCCACGATACAACCATGGTCATCAAAATATAGTTGAAAGATCAAATTCATTCTTCTTGTTTGCTAAATGAAGTTCAAATGGTAATTAGATATACTCTGTTGTTTGTGTATTATTTATAAGTTTCCATACTACTGGGACAGAGTTCAGTAATTACCACAGATGTTATATGACCTTATCAGATCTAAAATCTTTTCCCTGCTTCCTCACTGTTTTCTCTTTTTATATCTTCCATCTTTTCTTTGCAGGTACCAGAGTGTGAGCTCACAGCCTTCACTTACTGGGATTGCTTGCTTGACTGTTACTCTTATGTAACAGTTACGTCTCCAGCCCTGATTTTTGCTGATTATTTTGGATATTGAGTTCTGAGGACTTTTCTTCCAGGGTTGACTTTGAGCTTTGATTACTTTGGATTTAGCTTCCTGAGTCTCTAGGACCACAGGCACTAGCCACGGGTTTCTGGCTAACTGTCACTTCAAAGATGTTTGAAGAAATAAATGAGGAAAAAACACTTAAAAAAATAAAAGTCTCTATCAGTAAAAGTTAATTCATTTGGAGTTCCAAGAAAATTGAATAACAATTTCATGTGGAAGCAAAGAAGCTGACCTTGAGGAAAAAAATAAATAAAAATTAGAATAAAATTTAGAGACCTTAAAAAAAAACTATTGAAAAATGTGAAGTCATTAGATACACAATAACAAAGGAAAAGAGCTGTTTCAAAAAAGCTCTTATTACTTTACTCACTAAAGACAGAATGAAGATTAGAAATGCCAGAAAAAGTTGAGGCAGAGTTGATAAAAAAAAATAAAACAACTATAACAAGTCATACTTGTTATACCTAAGTAAAATATGAGAAAATATAATTTTTCCAAGTCTTTCCATTTCCTAACAAATGGGGCAATGTCATTCTTTCTGATGGAGGCATAGAATTCCATTGTGTATATATACCACATTTTCTTGATCCACTCATCTACTGAGGGGCATCTGGGTTGGTTCCATAACTTAGCTATGGTAAATAATGCTGCAATAAGCATACTTGTGCTGGTAGCTTTAGTATGGTCTTGTTTGTGATCATTCGGGTAAATGCCCAAAAGTGGGATTGCTGGGCTATAGGGGAGCTCTATGTGGAGTCTTTTGAGGAACCTCCATACTACTTTCCAAGAAGTTTCGACAAGACACAAGTTGAATTCTTCAGCAACTTCGAACTGTAATACTGAACTCACAAGGGAGACCAGCATTCATTAGAGTATCACTGGGCATAAGACATTAACAGTTATTTTCTGGTTTTCACACTGGTTGAAGACTTTGATATTCAGCCATATGTAAATTTAACCATGTAAATATGAAGGTAAAACTGCAAGAAGACAGAAGACAGAGAAGGAGGAACTATAGGGAAACATTTTCAACTGAATTTCAAGTCAAATGATATTACTAGAAATAGATTAGAAATCAAGGCATGCATTTAAGAGGAGTGAGGAGATAGAGAATTTGTTTGAAACAATAAGTCAACAGAAGATTTCTAATTCTGATAAGAATACATTGTGCAGTGATAGGGAGGATGTTTATTCTGGGACATGGTACTGAACTGCAGAGAAACTATTGTAAGTAGTCACATTGTTTTATTTTCAATACATGAAACTAAAATAAATGATTGCCCAGTATCCATCATTTTATAAAATTGAATGGAAATTTATCATGAATACAATTAAAATATAGAAATTGTTATTTATCCTTAATGTAATTTCTTTCCTATGATAATCACATAATTCTAAAATGAGATGAGCAAAATTTTAATAGTTCATTTAAATAGCAACTTACTCATCTGTTCTTCCTATGAACAAATTTCAAAGTAAATTTTGATATCAATATCATATCTAGTGTTCATTTAGTTATACTTTACTCATCTCAATAATTTTATGAATATTTAGCAAAACATTACAAACTTTAACTATATTAGGCATAAATAATTGCTAAATAATTTTAATTAAATAAATCAATATCTGAGCAGTTGATATCAGTTGATATCAGTTCAAGGAGATGAACATTTTTTGCCTAGTTTTCATAATGAGTTCACAAAGGTCAATTTCTTTTTTCTTTTGTATTAACTTTGTTCTATTTTCTGTATAACTTTAAGTACATAAAGGTTTATTTCCATAGGCCTTAGGAAGTGCATAGAAGTCACAGGACAATCTCTCTTCCCACCCCTCCAAAATTGCATATTTTGCTAAGTGTGTTCAAGAGGGGGGAAACTGAAATTTACACTTGCAGTGCTGTGCAAGATTCTTACATAAACCAACACCTAAACCAACCTGCAGTGGAGGTTTTTAGTCCTCTGTTCATGTGCCTGGACCAAAGCCCTAAACTGTTGAGCATAATCAGCAGCCACAAAGACAGATGGCAGGCATCTAGCAGGAAGGGAGAAATATGATTCTTGGAGTGGCATGTTTTGTTATTCTTGTTTTCGGCTGGTTCTGGGGCTTTAACTCAGGGCCAGGGTGCTGTGCCTGAACTCTTTGCTCAAGGTTAGCATTCTACCACTTGAGCTAGAGTTCCACTTCCAGCTTTTTTCAGGGTAGTTTATTGGAGATAAAAGAGTCCTATGGATTTCCTGCCCGGGCTAACATCTAACCGTGATCCTCAGATCCTAGCCTCCTGAGTAGCTAGGATTACAGGTGTGAACCACTAGCACCCAGCTTCCTTTTTCTTATTCTTAAAAATCACCTCTGTAGAAAGGTGGTAGGCAGGGATATCAGAGGAAAGAAAGGGCACAAGACCCAGGGAAGTACGACTGCAGTTGGGACCCAAGAACCTAGTGTGTCTCGGTTGATGTGGACTCAGGATGGAATGCAGAATATTGGAATGCTGCTAGGAGACAAGTCTGCTTGGAAGGAATGCTAGATGGGCATGCCTCAGCTTTTGGTCCAGGAAACCCTCTCCTCACTTGTCAACTTGAAGTTAGTATGATTGGAAGAACCATCAGAAATTACACCAGCTTCTACTATCTCCATGTTCACTGTTAGAAAAAGATTCAGTAGTGTGCACATTCTGTATTAATTCCTGGGACTGCTGTTCTTCCCAAAGGATGAGGTTTTTTTTGGTAGAATAACCCTTTCCCTAAAAAGCTGAGAGCTGAAACATCCCAGAGTCCAGGAGTGCAGTCCCTTAAGACCAGAATGGTGGTATGGCCGCGCTGATGTGGAGAAGCTGTACCTTTCTGCAGAAGATCAACTGCCCTGCTGTCCCACCTCAAATCTCAGCCTGAAGTATATTCAGTCAAGGCAGGTAGCTGGGCTTCTCCAAGCAGAGAAGCAGTTAAGAGCAGAACGGTAGAGGAAATCTAGAAAAGAACTGTCTTGATACAGATTTATCCCATGGTGTGAAGGGAGAGAGCAAAGAACCCACTCGAACTTGGCTTATCCCGCAATTTCTGTCACTGTGGTGACCAACTTTTGCCCAGGGACTGGGAATTCATTAAAGTCACCGCCTTCTGTAGGAATGAGAACATTCACCTCAGAAGATTTGGCACTCACTACCTCACAATCCAAAGAACTCTTGCTCAGGTAAGCATGGCAGCCATCTGTTTTGTTAATGGAAATCGTTGGCACTTTACCCATTACCTGAACTTTGACATCTCTACTATTGATTATCTCCACAATGCCCACCACATCATCGAATACCAGACCAAGTTTCTTACAGTTATCTACTGTAATGGAGTTAATCTTGCCCTTGATTTGCAATGTCGTGTTGACACACTTGTATATGTAAACCACCTGCTTCAGCTCTGTGTCATCAATTACCAGGTTGGAATCATTCTCCTGATTTTCCACTCTCCATTTCTTGCCCTCCAATTCAAGTAGAGCTGTCTCCTTCTTTGTGGCTGGTTTGGGAGATGGGCTGGTTTGGGGTTTAGATGCAGAGAATGGTTTGGGACCACTGCGTACTGGGCCACTCTGAGCTTTCAGGGCAGGGTTCTTGTGAGTCTTCATATCGTCAGATACATGCTTCTGGGTATGTGTGATGCTCTCCCCCTGATTAATCTGTGCAAACAGTGCTGAGGGGGAGGCAGAGTGATCAGAGCTTGAACTGGTAGGGAATGGTGAGGGAGGTGGGCCTGGTGGAGGGGGAGGAGGACCTGATCCAATAGAGGGTCCTGATGGCAATCCACTCAGTTCTTTTGCCATGGGCCCCGTTTTGTTCTAGGCCAATCCAGTGGTATGGAACTCCTTGATACATGCCTGCAACTCCGTCCATATACTCAAGTAGGCTTTGACCCAGTCCACGTGTTTCTTATCCACATCTTGGTATTCTTTGAGGACTTGGTTTGTCTAAAATATTGCATTTCTTTCACATAGCGGGAAGGTTTGGGAACTATAGCCACCCAGCCCAGGGCCTGGATTCTCTCGCTGACAGCTGACAGGTGATTGAACAACTTGCTGCCTTGGTTTTTCTCCCGAAAGGTTATCACTTCTTGGATCTGCTCTGAGATAGGTGCCAACAAATGGATAAGCTTATTATTGGCTGGCTGCTGGCACTGAGATGCTGTAACTAGGAGAGCTCGTTCCAATTTCAGACCTGTACAGACCATCTCTACATGTTTCTGCACACCTCCTCCAATCTCTACTGACCTTCAAGTACTCTGCCACAGGACCAGCAAGCAGGGAGTCAAAGGCTTGCACATATGGAGCTGTTCCTTTTGAAGGATTGTCTCTATACCCACAGTGTATGTCAGAGGTATGGGATACTGCCTCCAGGCGGCCCACTGCCTTCTCCAGTCTTTCTACAAGATTTTGCATATCAGCTATCATGTACCACCTGCTCAGTTCTGCAATCAGCGGCTCTCCACTTCCGGCCAGGTTAATTTCTTAAATACATTTGCCATCCAATAATTCACCTGCCAAATGTATTGGAACATAATTTACCAGGTCAAAAACTTATGAGTATCTTTATAAATATTCATACCCTCTCTCAAACGTTCTAACACAGTCTTGGAAAGGAAATAGGGAAATAAATGAGAAGCATTTTGAAATTGAGAGACAGCTCTGTGGAAAGTATCTGTAGGATGGGCTTCATGGATCTGCAGTCACATGGTGTGGGCTCTACTAAGAAGTGTCTTTCCCAAAGAGCATATTATTATGGAATTGCATAGGTTAAGCTGTGGAGCAAAAGCAAGCTGTGGAAAAACAGCTTTACATCAAACATAGATGAAGTCATTTTACTCCATAGTAAAAAATGAATGAGATTACATGAAAGAAAAATGACATCACAACTTCATGGAGGAATTTTACAAATATTGCCTATATGGTTTAAAATGTACTGTACATCCAAGGATTCTTTTGTTGATATTAATGACAACGATTACCTTGAAATTATATTTCAGAAACTGAGGAAAGTTTTGAAAGGTAAAAAGACTTCTGAGTCAACAACACAGCCTGTCACTGTTCAACTTTGTTTCCTCTGGAGACTAATATAGTGCTTATCGATTGTGTTCAGTCCGTCCAAGTTTCTAGATTTCTGCTTATCAGCAGCTTTCATATAATCTTTTAACATAGGAATAAGGATTATACAATACTGCCTACTTATGCTTCAAAATATATTTCAATGAGATGGAGAATAATCTGTTGGAGACCTATAACCACCTAATTTTTGATAAGAGTGCCAAAAAAAATAGAATGGAAGAAAGATAGTCTCTTCAGTAAATGGTGCTGTAGAAAACTAAAATTAGATCCTTATATATCACCCTCCACCAGAATCAACTCAAAATGGATCAAAGACCTCGAAGTAAAAGCAGACACCTGAAAATATTACTGGAAGGAATTAGAGAAACTCTAGGGCTCCTTGGCACAGGCTGAAATTGTCTTAATAGAAACCCAAAACCTCAACAAATCGAAGAAACATTGGACAAATGGGATTGCATGAAACTCCAGAGCTTCTGCATGGCAAAGGAAATAGCTAGCAAGATCAATAGAAAGCCCACAGACTGGGAGAAGATGTTCATTAGCTTTACAACAGACAAGGGCCTCATATCTAAAATATACTTAGAACTCAAAAAAATAAAGTCACCCAAAGACAAATTCTCAAAGAAACAACTGCTCCATTAATAAGTGGGGTAGAGATTTAAAGAGAGATTTCTCTGAAGAGGAAATAAGAATGGACAATAGATACATGAAGAAATGCTGAACTTCTCTGGCCACAAAAGAAATGCAAATCAAAACAACATTGAGATTTCACCTCACCCCAGTTAGAATGACTATAATCAAGAACTCTAATAACAACAGATGCTGGAGGGGATGTGGACAGAAGGGAACCTTACTGCATTGTTGGTGGGAATGTAAACTTGTTCAATGACTTTGGAAAGCTGTTTGGAGGTTCCTCAAAAGACTCCACATAGAGCTCCCCTATGACCCAGCAATCCCACTTTTGGGCATTTACCCAAATGATCACAAACAAGGCCGTACTAAAGCTACCAGCACAACTATGCTTATTGCAGCATTATTTACCATAGCTAAGATCTGGAACCAACCCAGATGCCCCTCAGTAGATGAATGGATCAAGAAAATGTGGTATATATACACAATGGAATTCTATGCCTCCATCAGAACAACACCGCTGATTTTGTTAGGAAATGGAAAGACTTGGAAAAAATCATAGAAATTTAGGTTCCATGGTTTTCCTTGTTTGCAATAATTAGTTTCCATATAGGATAATCTTATCCAGTGAGCTGAAAAGCTCAAAAACCATGTACAAATGACCATATAAGTTGATGCTAGTTGAAATGAACCCCAAGATAAGGACACAAGAGTTCTGTCTTTATTATTACTGTTTTAAATGTACCATGTAATTTTATTTTAAAAAAAAAGAATAAAATCTATTCAGGAAAAAGAATATTCTGTTGGGCATTTTTTCATATAATCTAATGTCAGCAGTGGCTATTAAACCTTGACAATATTGAGCTCATATCTGCTGCAAAGGGGAAAATTGGCAAGACTTCTGATTTTTATTGATACATATTAATTTTTATAGTGTTTTCATTATGACATTATATATTTGTATTATACATTTTCATCATATTCTGCTACTTTGTCTTGTTAAACATAAAACATCACTCTGGTTTTTACTTACATCCACTAACTCCCTTTCAGATAGTTATAACGTGTTATGGGCCTCCAGCTTTCTTGTTCACTGATATGACTGATGTAATGATATTAGGAAAAAAACTTCAGGTCAGGGAAGTTTTATTAGTACTAAATATTTTAAATTGATTTATAAATGGGGTTTCAATGGGGTTTAACCATTCTTTTTATAAAATGTAAATGTATTACTTGATTTTTGATTTTTGATTGTTTTAGGTTTTCCAAATCTGAGAATTATATGCTCTAGAGAATGTGACAGAAAATTACATGACAAATGATTGTGTGTATGTGTGTGTGCTGTTCTAGGGCTTGAACTCAGGGACTGTCCCTGAGGTTTTTCACTCAAGGATAGCTCTCTACTACTTGAATCTTAGCTCCACTTCCAGCTCTTGGAGATCAAATCATGATCATCAGATCTCAGCCTCCTGGGTTGCTAGGATTACAGGCATGAGTCACCAGTGCCAGGCATAAAATTGACTTTAAAAATTGAAAACTGCAAGCTAGGTGCCAGGTGCCAGATCCAGTGGCTCATATCTGTAATCCTAGCTACTCAGGATGGGGTGCAGCTGGGATCTGAGAATGAGACTGAAAGCCAGCCCAGCAAGGAAAGTCCATGAGACTATTTCTGTCTTTCTTCCTCTTTCTTTCTTTC